ACCAGACATGGGAGTACCAGACATGGGAGTACCAGACATGGGAGTACCAGGCATGGGAGTACAGACATGGGAGTACCAGACATGGGAGTACCAGACATGGGAGTACCAGACATGGGAGTACCAGGGGAGTACCATGGAGTACCAGACATGGGAGTACCAGACATGGGAGTACCAGGCATGGGAGTACCAGACATACCAGACATGGGAGTACCAGACATGGGAGTACCAGACATGGGAGAGTACCAGAGTACAGACCTGGGAGTACCAGACATGGGAGTACCAGACATGGGAGTACCAGACATGGGAGTACCAGACATGGGAGTACCAGACATGGGAGTACCAGACATGGGAGTACCAGACATGGGAGTACCAGACATGGGAGTACCAGACATGGGAGTACCAGACATGGAAGTACCAGACATGGGAGTACCAGACATGGGAGTACCAGACATGATAGTACCAGACATGATAGTACCAGACATGGTAGTACCAGACATGATAGTACCAGACATGGGAGTACCAGACATGGTAGTACCAGACATGATAGTACCAGACATGATAGTACCAGACATGGTAGTACCAGACATGGGAGTACCAGACATGGGAGTACCAGACATGATAGTACCAGACATGGGGGTACCAGACATAAATAAACGAGATTAAGACAAACAGGAAGAGAAACAATCATTGAAGAAAGAATAAACAAGGAACAAGACAACAAAACAAACAAAGAAATCAGAGAGCACGCAAACAATCACAACCCTAAGAAGCAGAAAACGCTTGCAAGCACAATCAATAAGTTTCAAGAATCCAAAGAGTGAAGGTCCAAGAATACGTGCAAGGAAGAGTGTCAAGATACCCCCAGCCACTCAAGAACGGTCCAAGAACATTACATCATTCTTACATAAGAAACTTTAACACCCATATCTTATCTTGAGGTTATCTTGAGATGATTTCGGGGCTTAGTGTCCCCGCGGCCCGGTCCTCGACCAGGCCTCCACCCCCAGGAAGCAGCCCGTGACAGCTGACTAACTCCCAGGTACCTATTTACTGCTAGGTAACAGGAGCATCAGGGTGAAAGCCCATATATACACGTATCATACAGAAAGACTCCTTTAATACTCATACATACATGTATCTTACAGAGAGGAACCAGTAATACACATGTAGCCAACAGGGATGAATTTGCATATATATATATTACAAAGTATATTTGTATTTTTCGAGATCCATGGGCCATTAATACAGATGTTGTGTGTTTACTAGTTGTGTTTACTAAGAAACTTTGCCCATTTGTTTCTGCCTCGTACGGGAATCGAACCCGCGCCACAGAATTACGAATCCTGCGCGCTATCCACCAGGCTACGAGGCCTCTTGTGTATGTATCTATGTGTGTGTGTTCTGACAGACAAACACATACACGTTCAGAGGGGGGAAATGTTGTGTATTGTAGCGGGGGATAAAAACTCACCTGATCCAATTACATCATAAATCAGAACGTCAAACAGGCTCCCCGAGGGAGGCCAGGGAGCTGCTGTTGATCCAATATTCTCACAAGCACCGCTGCTTCCTTCACTGTGGGGTGTGGGGTGTGGAGTGGGTGGTGTGGGGTGTGGGGTGTGGGGTGTGGGGTGTGGTGTGGGTTGTGGGGTGTGGGGGTGTGGGGTGTGGTCTGTGGGGTGGGATCTAGGCTGTGTGATGGGGTCTGTGGGGTGGGGTCTAGGCTGTGTGGTGTGGGCTGTGGGCTGTGGTACTATTGAGTATGTGATGCTCATTGACGTATGGGAGAAGTATCCTCGCATATTCACGTCATACCGTCTTGTATGAGGCCGTACTGGTTGGGCACACAAAGTCATATATTCCTTGTGCAAAAAACTCAGGAACATGGATGGGATTCGAACCCCTCTACCAACGCGACACACGGCTACTACTGGTGGCCCACCGCACCATATAGTAATGAGTCACTAACGTATTACTGCGTCACTGCGTAACGTCACTGCGTATTTACGTAGCTTACGTTTAAATAATAACATTACTACGTTACAAGTTCTCCCCCGCCATAAACTTGAGTTGCCCCAATAAGTTACAAGTTGTCCACGGACCAAATTAATGAGAACTTGACTAAATCGCAACTTTTCGCCGGCAGAAACTTCGGTGCGCGATGTGCCAAGTGTTGTCGAAGCATCGGGGCGGCAGACTGGGTCCGGAGAGCTAGAGACCGCGTCTACCACCTCGCCTGCTTCGCCTGCGACGCCTGCAAGCGACAACTGAGCACCGGGGAGGAGTTCGCCCTACACGACAACCGCGTCCTCTGTAAGCAGCACTACCTCGAGTCCATCGAGGGCGGCGCCTCCAGCAACGACGGTAAGTCACTTGAGATACGTTTAACATGAATTGTAGGGCAGATTAAAGTATTTTGACGATATCGTTGGCCAAACTAAACTATTTTGACCGACATCCTAGTCTAAACTAAACTATTTTGACCGATATAGTAGTCCAAACTAAACTATTTTGACCGACATTCTAGGCCAATCTAAACTATTTTGACCGACATCCTAGTCCAACCTAAACTATTTTGACCGACATAGTAGGCCAAACTAAATTTGACCGACATCCTAGGCCAAACTAAACTATTTTGACCGACATCCTAGTCTAAACTAAACTATTTTGACCGACATCCTAGGCCAAACTAAACTATTTTGACCGACATCCTAGTCTAAACTAAACTATTTTGACCGACATCCTAGGCCAAACTAAACTATTTTGACCGACATCCTAGTCTAAACTAAACTATTTTGACCGATATAGTAGTCCAAACTAAACTATTTTGACCGACATCCTAGGCCAACCTAAACTATTTTGACCGACATAGTAGGCCAAACTAAATTTGACCGACATCCTAGGCCAAACTAAACTATTTCCATCTGACCGACAAGAACTTCAACCATTTCAACTCTATATTGGCGGGTGTCGACAGAGAGTGACGGGAGTGGGAAAGCCAAGAGCAAGCGGGTACGCACCACGTTCTCGGACGAGCAGCTACAAGTGTTGCAGGCGAACTTCCAGATAGACTCGAACCCTGACGGCCAGGACCTGGAGAGGATCGCCCAGATCACCGGTCTCAGTAAACGGGTGACGCAAGTGTGGTTCCAGAACAACCGCGCGCGCCAGAAGAAATATATGACCCAGGGTAAGAGGCACAGCGCCCCGCCTCCCACGCCTGTAGGCGCAGGTAAGTCTGTCTAGCGTCCACCCCTGTGGGTGGAGGTGAGTCTGTCTAGCGTCCACCCCTGTGGGTGTAGGTGAGTCTGTCTAGCGTCCACCCCTGTGGGTGTAGGTGAGTCTGTCTAGCGTCCACCCCTGTGGGTGTAGGTGAGTCTGTCTAGCGTCCACTCCTGTGGGTGTAGGTGAGTCTGTCTAGCGTCCACCCCTGTGGGTGTAGGTGAGTCTGTCTAGCGTCCACCCCTGTGGGTGTAGGTGAGTCTGTCTAGCGTCCACCTCTGTGGGTGTAGGTGAGTCTGTCTAGCGTCCACCCCTGTGGGTGTAGGTGAGTCTGTCTAGCGTCCACCCCTGTGGGTGTAGGTGAGTCTGTCTAGCGTCCACCCCTGTGGGTGTAGGTGAGTCTGTCTAGCGTTCACCTCTGTGGGTGGAGGTGGGTGTCGTCCACCTCTGTGGGTGTAGGTGAGTCTGTCTAGCGTCCACCCCTGTGGGTGTAGGTGAGTCTGTCTAGCGTCCACCCCTGTGGGTGTAGGTGAGTCTGTCTAGCGTCCACCCCTGTGGGTGTAGGTGAGTCTGTCTAGCGTCCACCTCTGTGGGTGTAGGTGAGTCTGTCTAGCGTCCACCTCTGTGGGTGTAGGTGAGTCTGTCTAGCGTCCACCCCTGTGGGTGTAGGTGAGTCTGTCTAGCGTCCACCCCTGTGGGTGTAGGTGAGTCTGTCTAGCGTTCACCTCTGTGGGTGGAGGTGGGTGTCGTCCACCTCTGTGGGTGTAGGTGAGTCTGTCTAGCGTCCACCCCTGTGGGTGTAGGTGAGTCTGTCTAGCGTCCACCTCTGTGGGTGGAGGTGGGTGTCGTCCACCTCTGTGGGTGTAGGTGAGTCTGTCTAGCGTCCACCCCTGTGGGTGTAGGTGAGTCTGTCTAGCGTCCACCCCTGTGGGTGTAGGTGAGTCTGTCTAGCGTCCACCCCTGTGGGTGTAGGAGAGTCTGTCTAGCGTCCACCCCTGTGGGTGTAGGTGAGTCTGTCTAGCGTCCACCTCTGTGGGTGTAGGTGAGTCTGTCTAGCGTCCACCTCTGTGGGTGTAGGAGAGTCTGTCTAGCGTCCACCCCTGTGGGTGTAGGTGAGTCTGTCTAGCGTCCACCTCTGTGGGTGTAGGTGAGTCTGTCTAGCGTCCACCCCTGTGGGTGTAGGTGAGTCTGTCTAGCGTCCGCCCCTGTGGGTGTAGGTGAGTCTGTCTAGCGTCCACCCCTGTGGGTGTAGGTGAGTCTGTCTAGCGTCCACCTCTGTGGGTGTAGGTGAGTCTGTCTAGCGTCCACCCCTGTGGGTGTAGGTGAGTCTGTCTAGCGTCCACCTCTGTGGGTGTAGGTGAGTCTGTCTAGCGTCCACCTCTGTGGGTGTAGGTGAGTCTGTCTAGCGTCCACCCCTGTGGGTGTAGGTGAGTCTGTCTAGCGTCCACCTCTGTGGGTGTAGGTGAGTCTGTCTAGCGTCCACCTCTGTGGGTGTAGGTGAGTCTGTCTAACGTCCACCTCTGTGGGTGTAGGTGAGTCTGTCTAGCGTCCACCTCTGTGGGTGGTGGGTGTCGTCCACCTCTGTGGGTGTAGGTGAGTCTGTCTAGCGTCCACCCCTGTGGGTGTAGGTGAGTCTGTCTAGCGTCCACCTCTGTGAGTGTAGGTGAGTCTGTCTAGCGTCCACCCCTGTGGGTGTAGGTGAGTCTGTCTAGCGTCCACCCCTGTGGGTGTAGGTGAGTCTGTCTAGCGTCCACCCCTGTGGGTGTAGGTGAGTCTGTCTAGCGTCCACCCCTGTGGGTGTAGGTGAGTCTGTCTAGCGTCCACCCCTGTGGGTGTAGGTGAGTCTGTCTAGCGTCCACCTCTGTGGGTGTAAGTGAGTCTGTCTAGCGTCCACCTCTGTGGGTGTAGGTGAGTCTGTCTAGCGTTCACCTCTGTGGGTGTAGGTGAGTCTGTCTAGCGTCCACCCCTGTGGGTGTAGGTGAGTCTGTCTAGCGTCCACCTCTGTGGGTGTAGGTGAGTCTGTCTAGCGTCCACCCCTGTGGGTGTAGGTGAGTCTGTCTAGCGTCCACCCCTGTGGGTGTAGGTGAGTCTGTCTAGCGTCCACCCCTGTGGGTGTAGGTGAGTATATCTAGCGTCCACTCCTGTGGGTGTAGGTGAGTCTGTCTAGCGTCCACCCCTGTGGGTGTAGGTGAGTATATCTAGCGTCCACCCCTGTGGGTGTAGGTGAGTCTGTCTAGCGTCCACCTCTGTGGGTGTAGGTGAGTCTGTCTAGCGTCCACCCCTGTGGGTGTAGGTGAGTATATCTAGCGTCCACCCCTGTGGGTGTAGGTGAGTCTGTCTAGCGTCCACCTCTGTGGGTGTAGGTGAGTCTGTCTAGTGTCCACCCCTGTGGGTGTAGGTGAGTCTGTCTAGCGTCCACCAATGTGAGTGTAGGTGAGTCTGTCTAGCGTCCACCCCTGTGGGTGTAGGTGAGTCTGTCTAGCGTCCACCCCTGTGGGTGTAGGTGAGTCTGTCTAGCGTCCACCTCTGTGGGTGTAGGTGAGTCTGTCTAGTGTCCACCCCTGTGGGTGTAGGTGAGTCTGTCTAGCGTCCACCAATGTGAGTGTAGGTGAGTCTGTCTAGCGTCCACCTCTGGGGGTGTAGGTGAGTCTGTCTAGCGTCCACCACTGTGAGTGTAGGTGAGTCTCTCTAACGTCCGCCTCTGTGGGTGTAGGTGAGTCTCTCTAGCGTCCACCCCTGTGGGTGTAGGTGAGTCTGTCTAGCGTCCACCTCTGTGGGTGTAGGTGGGTGTCGTCCACCTCTGTGGGTGTAGGTGAGTCTATCTAGCGTCCACCCCTGTGGGTGTAGGTGAGTCTGTCTAGCGTCCACCCCTGTGGGTGTAGGTGAGTCTGTCTAGCGTCCACCCCTGTGGATAAAGGTGAGTCTAGCTTCCATCACTGTATAGTAAATATGATATAAAAATAGCGGTGAATCAACACATTAAGACAATCGACGATTAGAAAGCAGGGTCCTAGAGCTAAACTCTCGTCCCTGCATGCACAAATAGGTAGATAGGTCAAAACACACAAGCACAGGTCTGGTAGCTGAGTGGACAGCGCGCAGGACTCGTAATACTGTGGCCCGGGTTCGATTCCCGGACCAGGCAGAAACAAAGTTTCTTTCATGCTGAATGCCCCTGTTACCTAGCGGTAAATAGGTACCTGGGAGTTAGACAGCTGTTACGGAACTACTTCCTGGGGTTGTGAAAGAAATAAATAAAAAATAAATAATCAGTTGATTGATTGACAGTTGAGAGGCGGGCCGAAAGAGCAGAGCTTAACCCCTGCAAGCACAACTAGGTGAATACATACACACATACACACACACATACACGCACACACACACGCACACACACACACACACACATACACACACACACACACACACACACACACACACACACACACACACACACACACACACACACACACACACACACACACAGGGAGACACAGGTGGAAACTGAGTACCCACATGAGCCACAGAGACGTTAGAAAGAGCTTTTTCAGTGTCAGAGTAGTTAATAAATGGAATGCATTAGGCAGTGATGTGGTGGAGGCTGACTCCATACACAGTTTCAAATGTAGATATGATAGAGCCCAGTAGGCTCAGGAATCTGTACACCAGTTGATTGACAGTTGAGAGACGGGACCAAAGAGCCAAAGCTCAACCCCCGCAAACAGAACTAGGTGAGTATTAGGTGAGTACACACACACACACACACACACACACCCACACTTCCCAGCACACAAAGAGTGCTGGGAAGACGGGACACCACGAGCGTAGCTCTCATCCTGTAACTACACTTAGGTAATTAAACACACATATACACACACACACACACACACACACACACACACACACACACACACACACACACACACACACACACACACACACACACACACACACACTCCATACACAGTTTCAAGTGTAGATATGACAGAGCCCGATAGGCTCATGAATCTGTACACCTGTTGATTGACGGTTGAGAGGCGGGACCAAAGAGCCAGAGCTCAACCCCCGCAAACACAACTAGGTGAGTACACACACACACACACACACACACACACACACACACACACACACACACATACACATACACATACACACACACACACACACACACACACACACACACACACACACTCACTTATACCATAGACTAGACCAATAATTACAGTACCCTTAACAACTAATATTGCTGTAGCCATCCCGCATTGCAACTCACCTGTTAAGCGTCTGCAACAATTAACAACTCGGAAATTAGCATTCTTAATTAACCGACATCAATTATCATTTACTGAATGACCATTAGACGTTGAGTCGTTAATGGGCATACATGCCAGGCTGGCCAGGGGGGGGGGAGGAGGGGGTATTCACCTGTATCGATTCACCTATACGTGCTTGCATAGAGAACTTTAGCTCTTGGGCCCCTCACCTTTCAGTCGGTGTGTGTGTGTGTGTGTGTGTGTGTGTGTGTGTGTGTGTGTGTGTGTGTGTGTGTGTGTGTGTGTGTGTGTGTGTGTGTGTGTGCTCTTACTTAGATTTAGTTATCTTAACTACCACCCTAACAACCGAACCACCAGTTACTGACCTGTCGATCACTTCAAACAAGCCTCTTAATGTGTCGCAAACCAGCTCACTAATTGACTTTACTGATCGTTCTAACTTCAGCTCACACTTAATCCAAACCACCGAACTACCACTACTGTCCCTCCTAACTACCAAACAGCACCGTGAACTACCTTCGTTAGTAATTATTGGTCAACAACATCTCATTAGTCTGTCCAGTTCGGTAATTGTATCGTGAACGATCGGGTGAATCCTAGCATTTACGCGAGAGGAAATGAAATATGACGAAACACAGAGACACGAAGACATGAATTGGAACTAGGGGGGGGGGAGGGGGCGTGGGGCAGGGGGGGGGGATAGATTTATAGTCAGTGGCGAAATGTTTTAAATTATTAA